GGGAAGGGGGAAGCAACCTGTGAGTATTTTCACTTGAGATCATATAAACCCTTGCCCACTCCCCAACCATCCCTGTCTGCTAAATCTCAGGCTGCACTCCGATGGCCACATCAGCAGACAGGAAAGCCATGCCCGCAGCCCTGGCGGTCTGCGCCTTCTGCCCAGAGCCGCCTGTGCCCAAGGACCCGCTTAGGGCAACTCCACAGAGCAGGGTTATCAACCATTCCCTCTTTTGGTGCATGCAGAAAACACAGGTCTTTCAGTATGTATAACAACAAGAAAGGCGGGCAGCAACTTGAAGACCAACAGATTTATTTCTATGTATTTTACAAAGATTTAATGAGTTGTTTTATAGTGTCTGTTTTACCGCTTCTAAGAAAAGCAAAAAAAAAAGCCTTTGCTTCATGAGTACCGTCAAATATCAGATCTGGGTAATATTTTTATTGGACTGCTAAACTGGGTGGAGGATGAGGGCATGAGGAAGAGAAACAATAAAAGGGCAAAAATAATCCCAGCCGGTTGTTATAGCCAAGAAGTCTGAAGTTTAGGCTCAAAGCCCCAGGTTTCCTGGTGCTTCTGCTACTGCTCCCAGTCAACACAAGAACCGGGTGTTTTGGAGAAAGGCACTGCATAATTCATGGTGTGCCTATCAGTCCTTTAGAGGAGGAGACAGGCAAGGGGTCCTGCATTGCCCAAGGGGTCAGCTAATGTCACTGCATTTCAAGCTGCCTCTTCCAGTATGCACGCTCCAACTTTGGACTTCAGTCTCACTTCAGAGACCACGGCTATAACATCTGGGTTGAACTATGTCTGGGCTTCACTTTCACCACCAGCCAAATTTTTTGAAATGTCTAGACTGATAAGAAGGACTTAAAAAAATGCTTTTTGATTATCACTTAGTGATCTAATAAAGGTGTCACCCAACTCTGATTTTTTGTTTTAAGACTGGTGTACATTAGAAATATTTAGATGTAATTAGTTTAAGCTTGTGACACTTGCAAAGAAAACCCAATTTTTCTGCGTTTATTCTGAAACATACCTGAAACAGTAAGAGCAGTAAATACAGAATTTTGTATAGGTACAGCTAGTCCCAAACTTATATTACTGAATGGGTTATATCTCAGTTGGCCATCTTGGCTGTCCTACTGAAGCAGCTTTAACTCAAAGATGTTACCAGAAAGATTCTGGCAGTTGTGGTCTTCTAACTAAAATGGTAAGAACTAGAAAATCAAAATTTTGCACAACACTTACTGGCTTCCAAACTAAAATAAATGGATAGATTATACCTCCACTGGCCTTGCTGGCCAAAAACAAAAACAAAAACAAAACCCTCTGGGGCTCTACAAAACAAAAACAAAAACAAAAAAACCCTCTGGGGCTCGAGTCCCACAAGAACTGGGGTGAGTACTGGGGTGTGGGAATTAAAAAAATTAGTGCTGAGAAAAAAACACAGGGGTGGAGGGAGAGGGGCAATGAAGCCCTAGGAGAGGGCTGATGGATCTCTTAGCCTTGGCAAAAGCTGAATGAGCCTCAGGGTTAAGATGGAGAAAAAGAGACTAATGGGGGGGGAGGGTAGAGTGAGGAGGGGAGAGCTGAGGTGGCAGAGAAGAAAGAACGCACTAGAGCGACGATGGATTTTTAATCTGGGTGCAGCTGGGCACATTTGCCAGTAAAATAATAAGAACACAGAAATGGCTCCCTCAATACAACGCCAACAGGTTGCTGTCCTCTGAAGAGGCCGGCCACAGAGACTGGCGAAACGTTAGGAAGAACAACCTTCAGAACACGGCCAAAGAGCCCGAAAAACCCACGACAACAACGAGAGCGACGATGGATTTTTAATCTGGGTGCAGCTGGGCACATTTGCCAGTAAAATAATAAGAACACAGAAATGGCTCCCTCAATACAACGCCAACAGGTTGCTGTCCTCTGAAGAGGCCGGCCACAGAGACTGGCGAAACGTTAGGAAGAACAACCTTCAGAACACGGCCAAAGAGCCCGAAAAACCCAGAACAACAACGCCAACATGCCAAGATGGTGCTGTGCTGCCTCCCCCAGCCCACTCCACCCCACAGGGGGGGTGTATTCTGGAGGGGCAAAATGCCTGGATCATGAACGGGGGCAGGTGCCCAGTGCTTTCAGGACACTTTCTAGTAAGATAACTCTCCGAAAGGAGGCTGCCCAGCATGGATGCCATGCTCCGATGCACACCCCCCCCCCCCCGTTGTACAACAAGAGACAGGAGGGCCTGGCTCCGGAGGAAAAACTCAGGGTGACTACTCAGGTTACTAAATCCCATTTGGCTCTACCTAACAGGAAATGAGAGACACCTTGGAGAGCTGCTCAGGTATCAACAGTCCGGTGACTCAGGCGCCTGCAGGATGGGATGTCATGAAACCAGGGTTGGTAGGCATGATGCGCTCTGAGTCACCGAGCCCTTATCTAAGCAGGAGAGCAGGCGCCCACCCTCTCTCTGTTCAGGCTGGCCCACAGCTCACTCTGTCTTCTCCTTCTGGACAGTCAGCCTCCAGTTTGGATGCCTGTAGGGAAGACCTGCATTCCCAGGAGCTTTAAAGCTAACGGATACAAGTTCGGTTCCACAATCAGTACTCAAGCCACTTCAAGAACTATGGGAAGTGGGGAAGGAGGTTAAATATAATTCATTCTTATTTTTTGCACTCTGGCTTGTCACAGACAGCGCACGCCACAAGCCCTGAGAACGCCTACCGAGCACAGCGCCCAGCTCAGCCCCTCCCACGTTCAGCCTTGCCCCCGAAAGCCTAGCTGAGCCCCTCTGCCTGGGTGGGCACTGGCCAGGAGCTGGTCTCCAGAGCTTGGGAACGGTCTCAACACTTGTTTGGGAAGCCCAGCCCAAATGACCTCAAGTGACCTTCCCTGTTAACGTGATTCCAGCTCTCCCGCCTCGTTTGTTCTGTTTGTTCAAGCAAGCCTCTGCCTGCTCTCAGTAACTGGACTGGTTCCAGCCCGTTGTTGCTGCTCCACAGAGGCTGCGGCACGCTGGGACTGAAACACTCTCTGGTTTTTGGGTGGCGGGTGCAAACAAGAAAGGCAACAGGCTCTCTGGTTCCAGAGAAGAAACGGTGCCAGCAACCTGGTTCGCCTCCTACTCCAAAGGAACCTGGGGAGTTCTTCCCACTTCGACCCCACCTCTGAGAATCACATTATTGTGACCCAGTGTAGGCACAGGCGACGGTTATCTCTCTGCACCTCCATCTAGCACAGCCAAGAAAAGAGCCTGGATTCTCCATTAGTGGTTTCTTCTAGAGGCGAGCTGCTCTTGGTTGGGACTGTCCTGTTGACCTTTCCTGACTAACTAGATGATCCATGGTTCATCCAGCGTTGTCATGTCCTGGGCATGGACTCCCTGACCTCCTTGCACTACAGCCACCTGCAGCTTCCCTCAGAGCGATGGTGCCACCATGTAAAGCTCTTATGCCATGTGGATCCCCAAGAATGCCATTAAGTCCTGCCCAGAGTGTGCTGTTGCTCCCAACCAATCGAAAAAGCTTGAATATTGTGCCAATATCATAAATGGCACTATAACAATAGAACGATCACTCCTGGTCTTTCTGTGAAGAGAACTGTTGTCACACAGCCAAGAGTGACGTTCCGGGAATACCGGTTCTGGGAAAAGGTCAAGAGACACAAAATGTTAGCAGAATGCTCTGCTGACTTTCATGGAAATCTTCCCAGCAGAGTATTCTGGCAAATGCCCTTGATTTTAGGATGCTGAAGAGACTTGGTCTTTCGGCTGGGTCTATGTGTGAGGAGTGAAAAAGGTATTCCAAGAGAGAAGAAAGCTAATTTCATGACATCAGACTGAGTCAGAACATGTTGCAGGCAAAATTCTTGTCCTAAGGAGGAAAGGGAAGTAGGTCAAATGGGCTCCTCGTCTTCCCATGGAGTCACTGTCTCTCTTCCAGGCAAGTCACCCACTGAAAATGTAATCAAAGCTATATAGAAGTTATGAGCAGATGGCATTCAGAGGTTACCTGCCAAAGGAAGCTGTACTAGTTGATCCAGAAAACATAATTGAATTGCTCTCTAGAGTTTTACAGATCTAACGGGCTTACATTGCAGGATGGCAGAATCTGGTTGGTTATTGGTAGAAATGTCATAACGAGACGACCATCCTGATAGTAGAAGCAGTTAGCCAGAGGATGCTGGGCTGCCCCTTTTGTAGGAAACCTTCAAACAGAGACAAGACACTCAACCCTCAGGAACTGCTCTAGCCTAGATTTCCTGCATTGAGCCGGGGGGGTGGGGGTATATGTGGACAAGCCAGCTTGCAAGACTCTCTCCTCAGCTCTGTTTTGTAACTTGGGTTTGCTCCTGGACCCTCTTGATGGAGAATCCGACTTCGGCTGTGGCCAAATCTGCCTTTTTCCAACTTAGACAGATTGCACACCTTTGACCCTATCTCGACAAGAAGTCCCTAATAATACTGGTTCACATGTTGGTAGTCTTGCAGATTAACTATTGCAATGCTCTCCAAAAGGGGCTACCCTTTTGGTTCAGAAAGTACAGCAGCTGGGCTGGTTTCAGGAACATCAAAATATGACCGTATTTCTTCTTTCCTGGCTCATTTACACTGGCTCTCAGTAAATTTCTGGGCTAAGTTCAAGGTATACAAAGCCCTGAATTCTTTGGGACCTTGCTACCTGGCATAGCCCCTCTCTCTCAGACCGACATTCCATCCCACCTGCATCTCCCGCTCCTCGACGCTAAGGGTGGCCATCCCAGGGGAGACCCGGAAATCGACAAAATTAGGAGGCAGGCCTTCTCAGTGGTGGCCACCACACTGTGGAACTCTCTTCCAGTGGAAGTGTATCAGCCCCTACCCCCCTTGCCTTTAAAAAGCAATTAAAACATCACATTTCACCCAGGTCTTTGAAACCCTTACCCCTTTTTAATTTGTCTAATTATTTTAATTTTGTGATGTCCCTGTGTTTACTGTT